ATAAAATTCATTACAGCATAACGATCAATGATTTTTGTTTTACAGTTTTACACAAATAACTTTGAAAAACAGCAAAACGGTCAGTATCGAATACAAACTGTTTTTTTTTTTATTTCAGTGTCATAGTGAGCAGTCCGTGGTGCATTTTGTGGTGCTGGGCAAGGGGGATGGAGGGGGACCATGCTTTACATGAAAAAGTGTTACCTCGGCATAATGCGTGGTGTGATTCCTAAGCGTGACCCTGACCCCCTTCTCACGCGATTCAGTTGGTGGGGCTTAAGAGTTGCAAGCAAAAATGGCACGGGAAAACTTCAAGGGAGGACATTACTTTTTACAATGGATACAGGATGGTAATACGTTTGAAGAAGTTGCAGATATTTGAAGGAAATTGGAGTTCGGCGCGGCTCTTCACTTAGCCACTTCGAAAACTATGTCGTGAGAACGAAATGTGAGGAGGGTAATTTGTGTCCCAGGCAATGACTCGATCCCATAAGGACGCATTAACATTCCTAGGTGCATTGCTTAATTGCCGAACCTAAATCAAAAAAAAATGGTCGACAGGACTATTGACCGTTTTTCATCGTCATGTTCTTGTAAAACAACACTCTGAAATGAAGCAACTAACCGTTTATCGCTTTCAACAATCAAGAAAAACAATAAAAAGGTAATTGCTTTTTGTGACCTAATACCGTTTGACCGTTTTACAAAACTGTAAAACGAAAAAACGGTAAACCGGTGCGTTTACTGTTTTTGTTTTTGAGGAAATGCAAAACGGTAAAACGAAATAACGGTATGTCCCGGGATTGCTCTAGTATAGTGAGCGGGATGACTCGGGTTCGATCCCGATCCCCGCCACATTTTAAAGTTTTTTTTTCCCATCCCCAAATAAATAAGAATATTCTTCTTTTATTATTTTAACATGTCTCAAACTTTTTATTGCAGAGTATTATATTTTCTTTTTCAGATTTGTGGCTCTGGAGGATTTTTTTTTTAAAGGGAAGTAAAGTCCGAAATAAGATTTGAGGCTTTGCATGGTGGGGTATCGGTATCGTTTCGGTTTGCGGTAACACCATGTGGTAATAACTACTGCTTATTATCAACTTTGCTAAGTAGTTTTTTGTTCTGTTAGAACAGTCCTGCTGTAAGTTCTAAACGAACTTGTCTTTGGTCTCAACGTTTCGACTAGCCTGCTCTAGTCATTGTCAGGAGACTGAAGATAGTTGGAGATGCTACTCCTTAAAGCTATAGTCCATCATTTGCAGCCATCCGAAAAGTAACTGGCGTAATTACTGTTGAAAAACATACTTGGTCGAAAGATGGTAAGGGAACTAAACTCCCTGTGAAATTATTCTTTCTGGGAAGCTGTCATTTTGAAGTAATCAACGAAAGAAGGCATTTCCAACGGTGATTCTTAAGAAGCACCGTAGGAAAATTTAAATTAGTAGTTCGTTTTGTTATTCAGCGCAGCGCGCACAAGTATTGGAACGACGCACACGCGCGCGCGGTTGTTATAATTCGTCGGATCAGTGCGCGACGCCGCGTTTAGCTGCAATTCAAAACAATTCAAAACATGATTCAGTAACTTTTGATTTGAAATTGAGATCTTAGAATGCTGCTTTTCTCGGAATGTACAGCTGAAGCTTAGCTGTAACTTCATCAGGTTAGTTGCTCAGTATCCTTCATTAGATTTTGAACACTTTTGTTGCTTCAAAACGAACAAAATGCACTAATTACAAATGCGGATGGACTATAGCTTTAAGTAGGATTTGTTAGGATTGGGAGTGCTTGCTGGGCATGCCCTGCTCGCTCGGGTGTGTCAGTTGGTTGTGAGCCATGGGCATTGTGTTGAGGGATGCCCGCTCGACTGCGTCAGTTAATTGGCTGTGAGCCGATTTCTTGTGGGACAGTGTCATGTTTGTGGATCTCAATAGCTTCTCTGATACGACGGGTGTACCAGTGTTTCTCTGGGGCTATGATTTCCGCTTGTTCCCAATCAACAACATGATCCAGGTCAGCAGAGTGTTTGACAATTGCCGATTTGTCAAGTTCCCCTCTGCGGCCGTGAGCTATGTGTTCTTTAAGCCTGGTAGTGAGATCTCTGCCGGTCTCGCCAATGTACACGGCTTTGCCACATGAGCAAGGAATTCGGTAAACTCCTGCTTCACTTCTCGGGTTGTGCTTGTCTTTAGCAAAGTTGATAATAAGCAGGACAAGTTCTTTTCAGAACTAATATCTCCTTATTACCGGCACATGGTGTTACCGCAAACCGAAACGATAAAGTCCGAAATTATAAAATGGTCTGAATCCCATCTTGTGAATACGAGGTTACAACGATAATATTGGCATGGAGCCAGATAAAAACAGTAACTGCGCATGTTCAGTGCATATCAGGCAAACTAACGTTTACTAAAGGTTTGCCGTCTCCGGCAAAATATCCACTGCCTTAAATAATACAGTGTACTAGTACCAGGGTGACCGTAAGGTCGTGACTTAATTCTGCTAAATGCGCTTCAAAAATCTGTCAGAATTATCAAAAATCTGCCAAATTCCCCAGAACTACTCGAAATACACTAAACACTATCAACACATGCAGATTTGTAGTATTGCCTTAATTAATGTTCAAATTACATTATAAACAATCTATAGCCACATAAAGACAATATGAAATTCCGTAAATTTTAGGCAAAAACCCGGTTGCCTCTGCCTCTTGACTACAAAATCCGGTTCCCAGTGAACCTCGACACCAAGACCAGCCAACCTGTACCATTATGCAAGGATTTGTTTGAAAAAATTGCAGCTTTTGTAAACAAATGTACCATTTCTTTTTGCAAATTTGCTGTTTTTCGGTCAAATAACCATTTTTTTTTCAGAATTCTGACAGAAATCTGCCAAAAAAAATCCATTCTGTCAAATATACTGTCAATCTCGTTTTTCAACATAAAATCTGTCAAAGTTAGCCGAAAATCGGCTAAAACGGTCAGTTTGACTAGTACAGCATAGTACCACCCACCAACCGTACCGTAAGGTACGGAAGCGTATTTAGGACATGACCAAAATAAAATTTCTGGGCTACTATTTCGCCCGGGCGGATTACTATTTCGCCCGGGCGGATTACTATTTCGCCTGGGCGAAAAGTAATCCGCGTAGGCGAAAGAGTAATTAAGGGCGGATCCAGAACACTTTTTTTGGGGGGGGGGGGCAAAAAAATGTTTCGTCCCCCAAAAAGACTCTAGATGCTCTGTGGTGCGATCTGAGGCAATTTCTGACCATTTTACCAATGTTTTTAAGATGGTGGTGACATTGCCTGCCTTTATTGCGACGTCACATAAAAAAAATTGGTTTCGTGTTTTTTTTTCGGGGGGGGGGGGGGCATGGGCCCCTCTGCCCCCCCCCCCCATCCGCCCTTCATAGTATGGTGGTGTTCCCTAACGTGGCGCACTTCGACGTTTACCCGACTTTCCTCGATCGTGTATTGCCAAACCGCTTTGGTAACAAACCTCAAATTCATGCAGTGAAATACTGGTACTTTGACCTTATGAATGCTCGCTATTAAACCTCTGTGAACAATTTCGGTTTCATGAAATTAAAGCTATAGTCCATCATTTGTAATTAGTGCATTTTGTTCGTTTGAAGCAACAAAAGTGTTCAAAATCTAATGAAGGATACTGAACAACCTACTTGATGTAGTTTTAGCTCAGCTTCAGCTTCATATTCCGAGAAAAACAGCATTCTAGGATCTCAATTTAAATCAAAGGTTGCTAAATCATGTTTCGAATTGTTTTGAATTGCAGCTTTACGCGATGTCGCGCACTGATCCGACGAATTATAGCAACCACGCGCGCCTGTGCGTCGTTCCCATGCTTGTGCGCGCTGCGCCGAATAACAAAACGAACAACTAATTTAAATTTTCCTACGGTGCTTCTTAAGAAGCACCGTTGGAAATGCCTTCTTTCGTTGATTTCTTCAAAATGACAGCTTGCTAGAAAGGATAATTTCACAGGGAGTTAAGTCCCCTTACTATCTTTCAACCAAGTATGTTTTTCAACAATAATTACGCCAGTTACTTTTTTGGATAGCTGCAAATGATGGACTCGGGCTTTAAATCCGAAATTTAAAAACGGTGGCTTCCGGAAATTGGGCACAGATTGGAGGAGTGTTCCCTAACGCACGTTGCGCACTTGAATAAATCTCGGAAAATTCCAAATTGACATTTAAGAATTCCTGTCAAGTTGATAGATTCTGACAAACCATTATTATCTCTACTTACATACCCAACCAGAAGATTGTCAGATTTTTTTTCTTTCTTATTTTTCGGGGCATTTTCAAAGGGTTCACTTTGCATTTCAAAATAAAATCGGAAAATCACGCCAAAATGAATTTTTCTTCTAACTTTGTAACGCCGGGGTAGATAAACTCGCGATTTATGAACGGGAGTGTTAAGAACTTGATGCTGTTTCCCTTTCTTTTCTTGGAACCATCAAACCTTTTGTGCTCAATTGTTGATTAAACTCAACCTAGCGCTAGCTCCCGGTCTATTTCCCTTTCTGTGAAATTTCAGTGAAAACTTTTTCTCTAGCTAGGAGCTACAGGCGAAAAATCAAAGTGCGCCACGTTGGGGGCCGCGCCACGTATAATCCGCCCGGGGGTGGGCAGAATTTTTGTGTGTGTGATCATGTCCTAAATACGCTCCCGTATACTGAATCCGAGGCTGAATACGCAGCCGAAATCAGGCCGAAACCGCGGCTAGCTTGAACCCGGTATACTACATCCTTCATGTCCTTGCTGTATGCTATATCAACCATGTCAACACGGTGCACGTGCACACAATTTAGATAGTGATCCTTCTTCAATTTTGTAAGTTTTAATAAACACTGATAAACATGCCTCAACAACTGTCATGACTGTGGTCAAAGAGTACTCTTTGAACTAACTACTACTGGTCAATACAGAATTAAACTTAAAGCGTTCTCAATCGAGTCGACAGCCAACCGTGACACTGACAGACGGCCGAGCGAAGCCGAGGGCGAAGTGCGAAGACTCTTGACCGACTTGAGTCTTGTGTTGTGATCCCAGCTCCAGCCTCCAGGTGAGCAAATTCGCGGTAATCCTCACTTAGGACCCCGTTCCTATATAGGAAGGGAAATACTCACCAAAACAGTTGACTATATGACACTGAGCAATTGGTAATGACACCTTCTTGAACTTGAAGTTGAATATCAGCAGGTTTAATTTTGTGGAAAGAGGGCAGTACTTTGATTTATGAGGGAAATTCAGGGGTAAAAGACGACGATGACAACCAGAAAACAGACTCAAAAACCAAGATCATGGATGGCAAATGTGAAAGCTCGGTGCAATGAAAGCTCGTTGCTGATTGGCTGATAAAAAATAAATATCTTATTTATTTTTTTAAGCAGCCAATCAGCATCGGGCTTTCATTATGTTAGTCCGAGTAACTTGGACCCAACTTATCTCCTTTTTCATGTTTTTTAACATTTGGACATGGTCTGGCTACTATCGCCAGACCATGTCCAAATGTTAAAAAAGGAGATAAGTTGGGTCCAAGTTACTCGGACTATCATTATGTAGGGCTTTCACTGTGTTGTGAGAACTACAACATGCACGTCTGACTGTCAAAAAAGGGTAGGAAAGTCACATTTTCTTTGAAAGTGCTTTCAAAATTACAACTAACATGAGTTTATATTGTTTAGGACAAAAAAAATAAGTCTCCAGTTTCTGGTGGTGTGGCGACACGGCTTTTTTTTTTTTTTTTTACCTGATTTTTTTCGAAGTGGCTATCGTTACGGCAGTCGTTGTTTAGCGCCCTCTACGATACTTTTTTGATACGCACGCAGGTATATAATTATTTGTTTCCACACGTTCTAGCGAGCAGTGCGACGGCTCAGTCGATAGAGGGTAGGATTTTGCACAGCGAGGTTGCGGGTTCGAATCTCAGTTTTGCACTCGAATTTTTTTCTTTTTCTAACCTGAGGCTTTGGAGGATTTTTTTTTGTTTAAATGGAAATAAAGTCCGAATTTCATAACGTTCAAATTCACTTTTTTCCTTCTAATTTTATATTTTCTTGTCATGTTTTTATAAAAGTTGCAGTCTACCGTAACGATAGAAAATGGGAAATGCGTAACGGCTGCCGTAACAATAGCCACTGTGGATTTTTTTTGCCTCAAATGTCGGCTGATGACTGCAAATGGTGCCCGACTAAACTTAGTGCAAATATATGGGAGTCCAGAGAGGCCACATAAAGCTTATTCTCAATCATAACCCCACCTAAAAACGTGTTAAAATTGTGCAGCAGCAGGATTCCAGTCAAACCAGTGAGTTTGGCGGTTTGAGACATCATCTTTCATTGAGAAAAAAACGTTTTCATTTTGCCAACGCGCATGGCTACGGCGACGCGGGCGCATACCAGAAACCAGAGACTTTTTTTTTTGGCCTTAGCCTGCAAAAGTCACTTCGGTACTGGACAGACATCTGCGAAAGTCAGTTTTGAACAGAACTCGTAAAAAATAGAGGTGTCCTAAAAGTAAGGATTACCAAATTCGCAAAATTCTGGTATAAATTTCACATCGGGCCCTATATTGTTGATGTACCGGCCTAACGTGGCGCGGCCCCCAATGTGGCGCCTACCTAGAGCAAAAGTTTTAACTGAAATTTCACAGAAAGTGAAGTTCAAAACAGTCCTGTTCATAAATCGCGAGTTTATTTAGGCCTAGGCCTACCCTAGTCCGAGTAACTTGGACCCAACTTATCGCCTTTTTTAACATTTGGACATGGTCTGGCGATAGTGGGGTCCAAGCTAATCCTTAGGCTATATGCCGAGCAACACAATTCTGTCATTGACCTAAAAACCCAACATTGCCCAACAAAAACATCAGTTCACCCTCGAAACGGCCTCCAAATTACTAGATACGCCACCTGAGGTACAAGTAGACATCGATAATTAAGATGGTTGTACTGAAGTGTACTCACGATCCGGATGAAAAGTGAAATTTCCCGTTCAATTCCGAGAGCTCCAACTATGGCATCGATCCCAACCATAGTTAGGACCGTCCGGACGTGTCCCAACTGTAGTGCGACAGTTGGGTCGGCCCAACTGTAGTTAAGACGCTCGCCGTGTGGCGCTAGCATTGAACGGATGAATCAGATGTCATGGATGAATCGGCCAACATATCAACAGAGCTCAGAGCTGTTAGGAATGTTTATATATTGTTGATGTAGGCCTACCCTAACGTGGCGCACTTTGATTTTTCTCCTGTAGCACCTAGCTAGAGCAAAAGTTTTAACTAAAATTTCACAGAAAGTAAAATTTCATCAAGTTCTAAACACTCCCGTTCATAAATCGCGAGTTTATTTACTCATTACAAAGTTAAAAGAAAAAATTTATTTTGGCGTGATTTTCCAATTTTATTTTCAAGTGCAAAGTGAACCCTTTGAAAATGCCCCGAAAAATAAGAAAATAATTTTCTGACAATGGGTACATGTTATAATTATTTATCATAATTTATCAGGTTTACAGAAATTCTTAAATATTAATTTGGAATTGTCCGAGATTTATTTAAGTGCGCCACGTTAGGGAACAATCTGCCAATTTGTGCCTAATTTCCGGACGCCACCGTTTTTGAATTTCGGATTAAATTTTATGAATCTGTAATTGTTCACAGGGGTTAAATAGCAAGCATTAATAAGGTAAAATACCAGTATTTTCAGGGTTCGACCTTAGTGGTGGTCCGCTGGCCAAATGCCAGTTGAATTGCCGGCGGACCAGCTGAAACACCTTGCCAAGTGGTCCGGCTGGCCAGCTGAAAAAATCTGTGTCAAAAAAATGCTTGTTGTATTTATTTGGTTTCTTACTTACATTCGCTATTTTTTTTTCAAAAGAAACCTCCGTTATTTTTACAAATTCGCTTCGCGATATGACTACTTTGCAACTCGATGTCACGGTGACTATAATCATGTGCGTAAACCCAGCTCAATGCAGCGATGACTGGTTCCCGCCGCGCCAATTTAGAAGACATGATGAAAATGTGGTAACTAGTCTGTGCACGGCTATGCGATCGATAGCGCTAGCAGGGCTAGGCTATGCATTGTGCAGGCACGTGCTCTGTCAACTGGTCGGATTCGACATTGTAAAAATGCCAAGAAAACACCGATAGAGAAAGAACATTTTTGCAAGTTAATTCACAGAATTGATCTAGCTTGTCTGTATATGTATTTTCCGTGTTCAAGAGTTCATTTTGAGATCGCTCTACTTGTATTTGACGTGATACAATGCATCGTGTTTCCCGAAATTTTTGACCATAAAAACAAGGTCTGTTGGCTGCGCCACACATGCACAGTGCATCACACACTACGGAGTTTTGGCCAGCTTCCCGTATTGACTAGCGTTGTGCATAGGCTATGGTGCGAACAACCTGAATTTTCCATTATTCTTTACGAATTATCGAATGTAAATATATTGACAATAAGGCCAAAAAAAGAATAGTTCTGCTTCCGGCTACCCGACCGACCCTATTTTTAGGCTGCGACCCTAAAAATTGTATCGGCAATTCCCCCCCCCCCCAAAAAAATATTGAATAAATAAAAATAAAATCTTGTTGTCTTTTCTGTCTTAACAAAATACATGTGTACCTCTCAACAACCCTTTTGCATAAAAAAAAATGCTTGTATTTATTTGTTTTCTTACTTACATTCGCTTTTTTTTCAAAAGAAACATCCGTTATTTTTACAAATTCACTTCGCGATAATTATAACTACTTCGCAATTCGATGTCACGGTGATTCCTCCATGCTATAATCACGTGGCGACGACTGGTTCCTGCCGCGCGCGCCGCGCAGGGGCCAATTTAGAAGACATGATGAAAATGCGGTAACCAGTCCATAGCGCACTAGCAGTGCAAGCCACTGTCAATTGGTCGGACTCGACATCGTAAAAATGCCAAAAAAACACCGATGGAGAAAGAACATTTTTGCAAGTTAATTTACAGAATTGATCTAGCTTGTCTGTGTATGTATTTTCTGTGTTCAAGAGTTAATTTTGAGATCGCACTACTTGTATTTGGAGTGATACATGCCATGTGTTTCCCAAAATTTTTTGACCGTAAAAACGGGTCTGTCGGCCCATGGTGGGCCGCTCGCCACACACGCATGCATCACACACCTCGGAGTTTTGACCTGCTCCCCGCGTCTTGACTAGCGTTGTGCATATGGTGCGAATGACCTGAATTTTCCATTATTTTTTTAAATTATCGAATGTAAATATATTGACAATAATTAAAGGTAGGTTTTATTCAGTTTTTGTTGCCATTTTGTGTATAGCTTTCGTAGTGCAATGGAAATAGTTCAGGCTAAAACTTCGCATTATTAAAATTGAATACCCCATTCAATCTGCATAAAAAAAATTGGCAAAAAAAAAAGAATTTCCGACTGACCGACCCTATTTTTGAAAGGCATGTAATCGGAAGCAGAAGTATTTGTTTGGGCCTAATTAATGTAGGTTTTATTCACTTTTTGTGGCCATCATTTTGTGTATAGCTTTCGTAGTGCAATGAAAATAAATCAGGCTAAAACTTCGCATACTGAGGCCTAATTGAATACCCCATTCAATCTGCATAAAAAAAATTGGCCAAAAAAACCCCCCAAAATCCGACTGAGCGACCCTATTTTTAAAAGGCATGTAATCTGAGGCAGAACTATATATTTTTTTTTGCGGCCTCAGATCATGGAGGAAGAAAATAGACCTCTATTGCTCAGGTGACATGATGACATGGGTGTTGACTATGAGTCTAATTTTTTATGTGAAACTGATTAACTGGTGGGTACACGCTGTATAAGACGGACCAGTCAAAAACCTGGCGGACCAGTCAAAATTCTAGCCAACTGGTCCGGCTGGCCAGTCAAAAAAAACCCCCTGATTTTACTGCATGAATTTGAGGTTTGTCAAGAAAGAGGTTTGGCAACACTACACGAGGAAAAACGGGTAAGCTTCGAAGTGCGCCACGTTAGGGGATATGATTATAGTTGTACCACAGCAAGTGGCCCAACTAAAGATGGCCCCCTCCCATAGCTAATTTC